GACCGCTCTCGCCTGGTGCTGCATGATGAAGTAGGCTGGAGTCTTTTGTGCACATTAATTATCTTTAAAATAAATATGACAATGCCTGTGCTGGACGCTGTGGGACGTTCTGACGCTCCGCTTTTGATTTTGTTCATTGGTGTCTTGTGAAGAGATTCTTTATCAGACGTATGGAAATACAATATAAAACCTCTGCAGAATAATATATCCATGACTAAACACAGCTATCGTCAATTTAGATGTCTTTTACAGTGTGTTTTTGCATCAGAGCAAGTGCTATTATTCACAGGAGTGACTGTTAAATCAACATCTCAGGGGGTGTATGCCTTTTTAGTGCATCCGTGACTGTGTGTTTGCATGCAGGTGTACAACACTTGGTGATTTAACTTCAAATGGAAATGTCGCACTTACTTGGCAAATGCTTTTATTCAAAGTAGTGTGAAGTGCATTCAAGGTACAGTATATGTTTTATCAGTTCCCTGTGTATCAAACCCATGACTTTGGTGTTGCTTGCACCCTGATTTATGACTATTAGCGACTTGCCTAATTGTTCTATCACTATATCTTTGAAATTATCTTAATGAACATGGCAACTTTTTAAACTTCAATTAAGTTGGCTTGAATATTTATCTTAGGGTGTATTCACACCTGCCTTGTTTGGTTCGATTGAATCGAACTCTAGTTCGTTTGCCCCCTTGGTGCGGACCTTTTGGGCAGGTGTGAATACAGCAATCGAACTCGGGTGCGGACCAAACAACCGAACCGAGACCCAGCTGAAGAGGTGGTCTCGGTACGGTTCCAAACGAACTCTGGTACGGTTCATTTACGGTGTGAACATGAACCGACCCAATTGCAAGAATGCACTGCGTCGAAAGAGAATATTGCGCGTGTTTCTGCACGTCTTTCTGCGTGTCGTGTCGTGTGTGAATGTCTAATCGCGCAAATATGCAAAAAAATATATAATTTGCAGTTCATAAAGCATTTGCAGTTCACCGCCTTTTGGTGGTGGTTGACGAGTTTCCCCCTTAAAGCGAGTGCCGAGAAAAATTCTATATAAATGTAATGAATTATTATTATTATTAATGTAAGGATAGTTACAATACAAGGATGATGATGCGTTAATTTAATCGCAAGCGTTAACATTGACAGCACTTGTTAGTACACAATAAGAATCTCATTATTTGAATGAGTGAACATAGCCCCTCTCTATGAATGAAATACCTTCTCCGTCTTCTGTGCAGTGCCACTTGTAACGCAAAGTTGAGATGTTGCCCAGAGATAAAAAAAAACAGAAGGTAGTCGAATGAAAAGATGCATGAGAGACGAGAGTTGTCGTATTTCCCCGCGTTTATAGAGCCACTCAAACGTTACACTCGTCGTCTTCTCAAAATCCGAATTACAACTTCGTATAGATGACATTGTATCATATGATACTCATTAGTTTCTTCATATTGCGTTTGTACAGAATTAACACAAAATTAGTAAAAAAAACAAATATTGCAGTATGAAATATATGGAAATATCTCCATGCTGAGCCTTTTTTGCACTTCCTGATTTCCCTTGAGAATCCTTGTCCAATGAATGGACGACCTTAGCACACGTGTGGTTTGGTTTACAAATTTTGGTTCACTTGCAAAAAGAGCAGTGTGAAAGCGAACCGTACCAAAAAAAAATATTATAATAATTTATTTGGTCCGGACCAAAGCAAGTGAACTATCGGACTTTCCTGGTGTGAATACACCCTTAGTTATAGTTTTATTTATCTATTAAAAATGTTCTGCATGGTATTTGAATAGGTTGAAAATCAACAGCCAGTATTAACTAGTTAGATATTGTGCATATTTGCTGTTTATTAGTACTTATGAAGCACATATTAATGCCTTATTCTGCATGACCATATTCAACATCCCTTAATCCTGCCAAATACCTAAACTTAACAACCTTACTAACTATTAATAAACAGTAACTAGGAGTTTACTGAGGCAAAAGCCATTGTTAATAGTTAGTTAATAGTGGGAATTAGAGCCTAATCTAAAGTGTGAGCATAAATAAGGCTAATATGCTGTATAAATTCATTTACATTTATAATCTTTTATTTATGACATTTTTTGTTGTGCTAGTGAATATGTTTCTGAACTGCGAATAGAAATTTGGCCCGACCAGGAAAGCAGAAATAATCTTATTGTAGCTTGTGTTCTGCTTCAGCCTGAGTGTCAGTGATTTAATTTCAATCATAAATGGTACTATGGCACATGGGCATTGAGTCACTCTGGCATATATGTAAAAGTACAACAAATAAATGTAGAAAATGTACTCGAAGCTCTCACGAGGGAGCGGCACCCGCTGTCAAGTGGAATATTGAAGTGGCACTTATAACAGCGGGGCGAGCAATGGAGGCTCCCCCTGAATAAAAAGACATAGCAAAATGATAAGCAAGCCCTCTTCAGTGCCTGCGTGGCATTCCCTAGTTTCCCATCAAATGTTCTTCACTTCATTTGTTGTTATATCTGTATTTGTTGCTGTATGCACACACTCACACACACACACACACATGTCTGCACGCTGGCACACACTCGCGTGGATGAGAGAGTTGTCAACTCTGGGCACTTAACCAAACCGTAATATTGAGCTTTAAGGCTTATATCTGTGGTTTCTAGTCTTTTGCCCTGTGGGGATGTGCTTTCCTAGATCCTCAAAGGAAACACTGCTCATCTTGTCGTTTATATTCAAGCCCACCGCTTGGGCCCTGGGCAATCACAGAAATCAGTGTAAAGTGTTCACAAATGAGCTTCTGCCGCCCCTCCTCCTCATGTACGTCGGCTTCATGGTACATTTTTAATGCACAATAAGAGGATAACATGCTTGCATGCATAAGTGTTTTTAATATGTCTGAAGACTGTATTTAAAGTAATGCTGTCTATTTTGTGTGCCTATTTTCAGTGTCTATATTATTTGCATTGTTTGGTTGCTTTTGATTTATTAATCAGCATATCATGTAATTAAAGGAGTAGTTCACTTTAAAAAAAAAAACTTTTGTTGATAATTTACTCACCCCCATGCCATCCAAGATGTCCACGTCTTTCTTTCTTCAGTCTTCAGTTGATGAAAACACTCCAGGATTTTCTCCATATAATGGACTTCATTGGGAACCAAACGGTTCAAGGTCCAAATGAGAGTTTCAGTGCAGATTCAAAGGGCTTTAAATGACACCAGACGATAAATAAGGGTCTTATCAAGCGAAACGATCGGTCATTTAAAAAATATATGTAAAAAAGTGTTATAATCTGTTCTGTGATGAGCGTTCGTGACTCTCCTGTTCGAACTCGTTCATCAAATGAACGAATCTTTTTTCGAGTCATGACTCGAAGGGTCCTAGATAAGACCCTTATTCATCATCTGGTGTCGTTTAAAGCGCTTTGAAGCTGCACTGACACTCTCATTTGGACCTTGAACCGTTTGGTTCCCAATGAAGTCCATTATATGGAGAAAATCCTGGAATGTTTTCATCAAAAACCTTAATTTTTTTTCAACTGAAGAAAGAATGACATGGACATCTTGGATAACATGGGGCTGAGTAAATTATCAGCAAAAGTTTTTTTTTTTTTAAGTGAACTACTCCTTTAATTCATTTTTTTATCAAATGATAGCCCTAATATGTAAAGTGTTTTCAGTGAAAATATTTAGGCTGTAGACATAAAACTCAAAAATATTGAAAACATTTTGAATTGGATGATTAAAATTGTACTTATACATTATATATGTTGTTCTGGAGTGCAATACTAAATTAAAAAATATGATCTTTAAACAGAATACGTACCCCCGGCTCTTAATGGATCTTGATGCTTTCTTGAGAATAGGTGAACATTTTCACCTCAAAATCACACCGTCACTGTTGGAAAGGGTTTAAATATTCAGAAGATGCTGAATGTGCTGAACCTGGATGACTTTTCTGAAGAAGAGTGGGCAGTTTAACCGCTCAGGACAAACAAGAGACTCATGAACATGCAGTAAAAACAATTGTCATCCAGGTAACAACACACATTATAAAGATTCAAGGCTATGTCAACTTTTAAACTGGTTAACAATAACAGCAATCAGAAAAATAGCATGCAGCTTTTATGATTCATTTTATCCAGCACATTCTGCAAGGGTTATGTAAATAAATGTATGCATATAATTTATTCTGATCCCAGAAGTCATAATGATGATTTGAGCAATTTCATATATTTACATTATACATCAGCCCTAGTTCAATATAACAAAGAGCAAAGGATACACATTATGTGTAATTATCTGTTTTTATCTTTCTCGTTCTCCCACAGTGAATATAGTTTATTTGCTTCTCAAACCATTTAAATGAGTTGCAATTTAGCTTTATAATGATTCAAAAGGCAAATGGTGCACCAAAAATGGAAATGTAATTACAATCAATATCAGTTTGCTTTGGCCATGATCCTTTTATCAGAGCATCCCCAATTCTGAACGTCTGGGCTTAGAGAAAATCCTACTGGTTGAGGTTGCATGCTCTGTGAATACTATCATCCTGACTTAAATTATCTAGAGCGAGGGACGGCTATTAGGTCTTAGGCAACCGAGCAAATACATTTCATTTTCCCGTCTTTTATAAACACCTTTGTGAAAAGCCTGAATTTATGCATTCAGGAGTCTTCAGGTGTTGCATAATAGCAGATTAAACTTTCAAGAGACATCTCCATGCATGTTTAATGCTCGACAGGGATTTTTTAGAAATTTGTAAGCTGCAGTTGTGGGAAACCTACTTTTGAATCTGTGTTATCAGTATATGTCAGATTTGATATGCCCTCCGGCGAGTTTAATCAGTGCAGAGTTGTATTTAAGATTAAAATGTATTGGGGAGATAGAAAAAAAAAACACATTTCTGTCCGTCTACGCTGGTCATTTTAATGCTTCTTTTGAGACATGTTTTTTTTTTTTTATACTAATGCATCTTGTTCTGTGTCTGTTTTTCACGCTCTCTACAGAGGATGAGCTGTAGCTATCTCCTATGCACCATCCTGCTCTTTGTTGCCGTGTTACTGGCTGTCACGGTAACCGGGATCATCCTTCTGATGAACCATTACCAAGCGCCCAGCGGCCCCGATGGCCCCCCTCTCATCAGCACTAACCAGGATGAGGCTAATGCCCTGGTAACCATCGAGAGAGGCGACGGTTCCCGCATTAACATCTTCATTGACCCCAACTGCCCCGACTACAACAATAACTTCCTGCGTCTGGAGGGCGTGCAAACCTCACTGCTGCACTCTCTCACCGACCACGACACTGATCTGAAGTCAGTGAAAGGGCAGGACCGGGCTCTGCTTGTTAAACTGGCTGAGGAGGTGGCCAAACTGTCCGCCCATGCCAGTCAGCTGAAGATGGAGTACAACGCTCTGAGACAAGGCCAGGGCAACATTGGACAGGAGCTCAGCACTCTGCAGACCGAACAGGGCAGGCTTATTCAGGTTAGTTGTGCTCCAAGAGCAGACCTGACGAATCAGCCTGAAATGAATGTTGTCCCTGGAGTCGTAGCATTATCCACAAAGGCAAATTCCTGTGCATGCCAAGTTTGAAAAACTTGCAGAATGAGATTTTAAAATACAATGCTGGGAGAGTTCACAAGTTTTAGCGCCAGATTCACTAAAGAAATTATGCAAGTTGGTTAAACGTGCAAATGCGACCACATTCACTATCTTTCAGGCTGGTTCTGGGTCTGCTGCCATGTTGGTTCCAGAGGTATAAAAAAACTCCTTCGGTGTGTCACATTGACGTCGTCATCGTCTTGCTGCTCCCTCCCCGTTCTGTGATTGGTCCCCAATTTGGTCCATGGTATCTAGGGCTGTAGTCAACCAAAGAAATCCTTAGTCGACCAAGGTCTTGCCCTGCGCAATGATTAGTCGACTAAAAAAAAAAAAAAAAAAAAAAAAACGGATGTTTTGATTGAACATTTTGTAGACAATTGTCATAGAGCATTTATAAAACAACAACGAAAAAACATCAAAAATAAATAAAACTATAATAATAATGAAATTCTTTGAAAATTAAGTGATTTTATTTTACTGAAAAAAGTCAGGAGCTCTGTCCTAGGTCTATTAATAGTGACCGTCACCATCGTGCACCTGATTGCACCGCACGCTACAAAAAAATATAGGCTAACGCCGCCTTCACACTGGCAGTTGAAATCAGCTCCGTAATACGCAATACGTTCCCAACGGACGTCGTACTACACAGTGAAAAGCGTCGGACGCGGGTAGAACAAAAATGGCGGAGAGATTAAAGTTTAATTCTGTCAGTTCTGTATGATCTCTCTGATTAGGGTAATGCTGCGTGAGGAAAGTTGCTCAGGACGTTGACATGTCAGGTCGGCTAAAAAATGTGATATAGTGGTCAATAGTTCAATATCTACCTATAATTTAATTGTATTAACTGCCCTTATAAACGTTAGAAAGTCATGAAAATAAAAAATGACATCACAACTTATCGTTATAAAAATCAATATTTATTTTATTAAAAGTTAATAATTCAGGTTTGTTTATCAGTACCATAGCAACGGTCAACTTCCGCTGGAATTGTCGGATAGGAACCGTCCGTAGCTTTTCGCAAGAGTTCGAATTTTTGAACGCATCCGGATGACCAACGGACACGATTTTCTTCGCACCGCACTCGGTCGGACCCGTTTCGGACCCATTCGCATGCGGTCTGCGAATCTCCATAGGAAATGAATGACTTCCGGTCGTTTCGCAGCCGCATCGGAGCTGATTTCAACTGCCAGTGTGAAGGCGGCATAACTGCTATCTGCCACATAATGAAAAATCTTAACAAAAGCTCTCGTTTATACAGGCTATTTTTCTTTACTTACAAAGCTATGGGTTAACTTTTGTCCAGCCGATCTAGCCATCAAGGCACAAAAAAAACAAAATAGCCTTAAAATCAATCTGAAATAGGCTGTGTTGTAAGAAGGCATATAGGTTTATTTTCGTTTTGTTACATTATTTAGGCTATTTTCAAATGTGTCAAGTGTACAAATAAAAACGAAAACATATTTAGAAAACACAATCTGAGTCAGCATGATAAAGCCGTTAAAAGGACTGCTCACGTCTTTTGCGCGCTCAAGTTCGATTTCAAATGTAGACACGCGATGTGCGCGCTCATGGAGCAACGCGATCGCGGTCGCCTACTTCCACAAAAATGTTTGGATTTTTGGATTGTTTTGGTTTTGTTTTGGATTTTTGGAAGACAAAAGATTTGGATTTCTTGGACATTTTGTCGACTAAACAAGTAGCGTGAACTGAATGAATACAGCAAAACTACCTACCGGTATATCCCTTACTGAGCGCGAGCAGCAGCGCAGCCAAACACAGGTGCGGTTCCCGAGTGTATTATGTGTGTGCGCTTACTGCGCTAAACTGTGGCACAGTTACAAAAAATAGCCTAAATGAATTCATTTAAAGTTGGGGATAAAACATAGGCTGATTATTATATTTAGAATACAGTAATAAATAACTGCTTAATAAAGGAATAAATATCAAGGAGTAAATCATTGAAAATGTATTTCTTTTGGTAAAAAAAAAAAAAATGCGACTGGTCGACCAATAAGAATGTCAGTCGACCAAGACGGCATCGACTGATAATAAATTCGCGCTGCACAAAGGTGGTATGGGGAAACCCAGGCTAGTACAAAATAGTAATGTTGTGAAATATTATTACTATTTAAATAAATTTTTTTTTCCTATTTTAATATATGTGATGGCAAAACAGCCATTTCTCTATGATCCTTCAGAAATCACTCTAATATTCTGTTTTGGTCCTCAATTATTAATTATGTGATCTGTATTTATAATGGTTCTTAGTATGATCAAACAGTTTTTGCTGCTTAATAATTTTTTGGGAAACCGTGATACATTTTTATACAGCACAAAATATATTCAAATTCCTCAAATTACCCAACTTTGATATATATTGTGCTTCTGTTTCGTTAAATAGCATCTGATTTCATGTGAACAGACATTGACGGTTTCCTTATGAAAAGCAGATTTTGCCGAACTTTTTGCTGATAGCATTTTTAAAATAGTTCGGTTTAACTTCATAAGCCCCATACCGCCTCTCCTTCACCTGTCATTATGTTAAAGGCTTCATCAGCACCGTCTGGATTGTCAAGATGGAAGAGTGTAGGAAAATCACAAGCACCATTACTCACAATGTCCCACAAGTCCCCACTTTATGACCTTTTTTTGAGTGTAACACTCACTGATTACAGAAGGATAAGAGATTATTTATCCTTGACAGTAATTTGAGCCTGAAATACTAAGGTTTATCAAACATTCAACAAATCTTCCAGTGTTTACAAGATACCATTTCTCTCTTCTGCCAACATGTTGTCAGCATACTAAAGCTCTTTATGAGCTTTTCCCGTGTGATGAACGGCTCTATCTTTATTTCTTTTGCTTTTTTTTTTTTTAATAATTGAAACTTGAGGGAAATGACTTGCCTGTGAACTAGCGGGGGATTGAGCTCACACTACGCAGCCGTATGCCAACATCCCCACCAGGCACACACCTCATTTTCACTGTGCATTTGAAGATGAGATGACAAAACGCACTGGAGCTCAGTGGTCAACAGTGGAGGACTTTATTTGATGTGGCAGACCACACAAGGACATTATAGTAGAGAATTCAGTCAACCACATGATGTCTGTATAAGAAATATTTGAAATTTGAATGCGCTCGACTGAAACGTTTTATATCCAAAAATAATATAACATAAATATTACAGTTGTCTACATACTGTATATATTTGAATGTGCTTTTTTGAGGTTCAGCTGTGTAGCTTTTTAATGTTAACCTAATATATTATATTAATATTATATAATCTTATTTTATATCCAAAATATTTTTAAATATATATTTGTGTACAGTCTCTCTCTTGCACACACATTTGTATTAGGCTTGTAACTAGGGATGTCCCGATCCGATACTCAGGATCGGTATCGGCTCCGATCCAGCCATTTTTGCGGGATCGGGTATCGATCAGACGAGGAGGCACAAAAACATTCTAAAGTACCATAACGTTTTCGTGCACTCTATTATAAGTGTTCTGAAGCCATTATGTGAGAGAGAAATTAATATTTAAGTCTTTAAATTCAAGATCACATAAACTTTTCCCTCTCGCGGCTGTCAGTCATTCTCCATTCAGCACTCAAACAGCGCGTCGCGTTCGGTTACAATCAATGATGAAACTATCTTCAAGATGATTCAATGTTAATACTATTATACTTTATCTGTAGATAAAGGTCTATGTTTTCGCATAAAACAACATTATCTTGCTGGACTTTATTGCTGTAACTTAATCGTGTTACTTTCTACCAGGTGTCGGACGCTGTCGATTAGATCACAACACAGAGCACTATTGTTCTTCACGCGCACAGTAACTGAAATGTAAAACTGTTTAAAGAAAAGGTTCAATAAACTACTGTATAGATAGATAGTGTTTAATACACTGTCCATCAATATGTATTTCCTTTATGCTTTGAACTTTTCAAAGCGGACTCGACGCGCAGCATGCATATAGGGTGCATACTCGGCTGCGTGCTGTAACTCCACGTGGTTTCAAGCGCATCATTCTGCGCTCAGAATGCACATAAGCGCTTTGTGCCGCACTGTGTTGGAGTCATTCATATCATAATGCAGTGACGCAATTAAAGCTTATTAACATTAATGATTATTAATGTTGCTGCCTCATTAAATAGCTGTGCTATACACTTAAAACATGTCTCAAATTTTTAGTAGCCATGGCGATATCAAAAATAATTATATTTTTTGTTGTTTATCTTTATAATGAAGCTGTCTGTATTAAGTAGATTGTGTTTTACACAGACATTACAAAGTAGAATACTGTTGTTTAAATTGTTTTAACTTTAAACCTGTTGGTAGCTAGCTAGCTTTAAGTACTGAAGTACCTGTATTTTCTTTTATATATATATATATATATATATATATATATATATAGTAGTGTTTGAATAAAGGGTGGCAGTCTTTCATAATCAACTGTTGTTGTGGACTATATACTGGAGGTATATTTTAAGTGGCTAATTGAGGAAATTGCTATATTTTTTATAAGTTTAAAAATAAAATAAAAATATCGGATTGGTATCGGTATCTGCCGATACTCAGAATTTTGGTATCGGATCGGTTTTGAAAAAACGGTATCGTTGCGTCCCTAGTTGTAACAATATATCATGCCACAATATATCGCAATACATAAATGCAACAATACGTATCGTGGATAGTGACAATATGTATCGTGGATAGTCCCCCCCCCCCACCAAAATGATTACAGTGTGAGAAAAAAATTTAGTTTTCAGAGTTTTAGTGTCAGTACTACATTAAACTACTATATAATGTTAGTTATAATGTATAATAATAATGCAATGGTCATGATAATGCCAAATGTTACCTGACCAGTAAAA